ATATGTAATGTGATCCTCTTATTTTAGATCTATTATATTACTATGTACATAGTTACACTGCAAAAAAGCTTTTTCATTAGCATGTATGCATATAATCTGTACAACAATAACAACGACAACAACAACAACAAAAAACATCCCCAAGTGGAGTAAGTCACAAAAATCCTTTTTCTCCATTGTGTCCTATTGAGTGTCATATTATCATTTAATTATAATAAATTAAGATCACATTTTATATAAAATGTAGAGGTCCTTTTAGGTCTACTTCAATCTTTCTTAACAGAAGCCAATTCTAAAATATCTACACATTTAACGTTGATCATCTGACGTTTAATGTGACGTTTAGTGTGACCAAGCCATCTAAGAGGACTCTCTCTAATCTTGTCTGCCACTGGAGCTACCCCAACACTTTCACGGATATATTTGTTTCACATTTTATCCCTAAGTGTAAAGTCACCCATCCACCTGAGCATTCTAATCTCAGCAACACTCAACTTAGTTTTATGCTTCTCTTTTATAGGCCAACATTCCATATGTGCATATAATCTATATTCATTTAAATCTTTGCCCAATTTAATTTCCTCATTTTGCAACAATTCGAAAATCATTGATATTACGATGATAAAATAATAAAATTTATTATTATACAACTATTGCATGTAGGACTATTTACAAAAATAGAGTAAGAGATTAAAATATAGTGTTATAAAAAGTTTAACGCACGCAAATAAAATAAGAGTTGAAGAAATTAAGATTACAATAAAACATTTAAAATTATTTGAAAAAATATTATTTATTTATTTATTCTTTACCTTTGCTCCAAGGCCAAGGCCGAAGTTGAAGCCGAGGAGAATACCAGCAGGAACCCCAACAAAGTAGTAGCAGCCAACGTTAACATAGGCCACAAAGGATTGCCATCCACAACCAACAGCCACACCTTCAGATACCAGATAAGAGTTTAGAGTAGTCATAGAAAATGCATTAAAATATAGTAAAGTTGTTGTTTTAATTCCAAGTTTTTTTCTTAATTTTTAAAAATTGTAATAAAACTGACATACATACCTTTATAACAATCTCATAAAATATTAGAAACTTACTCAAACTACAGCTTTTTTTTTGGAAGATTAACATACACACAATCTCATAAAATATTAGAAACTTACTCAAACTATAGCTTTTTTTTTGGAAGATTTACATACATGCCACTTAATTCCTATGCATTTGCATATCAACACCTAAACTTCAGTTTTTAAATATATGGTACCTTACCTTTGTATGAAAATGTTTATTTCACTACTTTAAAAAAAGATGCATTTTTTATATAATATGAATGATTTAGTTTAGTATAAATGTAAAATATAAAATGTAGATGTTAGACATCTAAATACATAGGAATTAGGCCTTTTTTTTTTTAGAAAATCTTATGATTTATGTTATCTTAACGGAGAAAATGGTGATGCTCACCAGACAAGACGGGTTGGATTCCATTGAGAATGATGGTGATGGCAAGCAATGGGGAGAGATCTGCGACGGCATTAGCCACAATTTCGCCTTCGGTGAAGATGTAGCTGATGTATTTACGACTAAAAAGTATGCCTATGGCGATGATAGCCGATACGACGAAAGACATTACTGTTACAACTACAACTGAAAATGCAGCAGACTTTGGATTTCCAGCTCCCAATTCATTGCTCACACGAACACTGCATCAGGATTACACCAAATTACATATATTTTGATTTTGGTACCAATAAATCATATTTGTAACAGGTTTGTTCTATAAGAATTGTAAAAAATCAATGTTTATTAAACTCAGATACCTAATAATTACATTGGAGCCAAACATCGAATATAAAATTGAGAATTGAAATACACTTGAATTTCCTCCACTTCTTTTAAACCAAACATAGTTAAGGTATTGTTGTTCTGTTCTGATATCTAGAACATAATGAGATATGTTTTCCTAGAAAATACTTCCTAAACTTATTTTGCTAATTCTCATGATGTATGGTGCATTGTTTATATAATTTTCCTTATTTATTGCATAAATAAATCACAAACAAGAAATAGTTAGGTGCAACTAGGGATGTACTGAGCCAAGCCGATTCGCGAGCTGGTTCGGGCTCAGTAACTGGCTCGTGAGGGGAGCTGGTTCAGGCTCAGCTGGATCCGGCGAAGGGAGGTGAGCTTGATTAGGAGATTCATGTCAAGATGGAGGAGCTCACGAACAAGATCATAGTAGCCGTTGGCTGCCGCTATTTCTATGGGTGAAGCATACCACCATATGTCCCCGGTTGTCTCCTAATGGAGAGGAAGATAGGAAGGAGGCATTTACAAAAATTAGGGTTAAGGGACAGTAAAGGAGTCGAATTGAAAGTAGAAGAATGGATTAGAAGGAGCTGAATAAAAGACCCAATCAAAAAGTACAAAAAAAAAGGGTTTTGAAAAGTGGGAGGAATTCTACGGCAGAAGATATTTCAGTAACAGTGATAAAAAACTTTCGAGTTAGAAGGAGGATGCAAAAGCAAAGAAATTTTAGAAATCGTAAAAATGCAGAACCAAAAAAAAGGGAAAAGGAGGAGAAATATTTGCGTACATAAGATGTAATAATAAAATAGAAAAAAAGGATTTTGGAAGTTGAGAAATTCCACAGATGAGGATGGGTGAGCAAGTTCAGAACTTTTCAACTCACCCAATAGGAAGAAGAAGGAAATAATCAAATATATACCGCAGAGAGCAGAGATGAAGAGCAGAAATGAGTTTCAGGCCATAAAAAAACAGGTTTTTGAAAATGAAACACAAGTAGGGATCATTCCACTTTGAGGAGAGCGAAAGGAGAACCAAAATTTCTCTGATAAGCCATAAGAGCATTATCTTGAGGAATGTGTATCAAGAGAGAAGTGGGGGCAGGCACAAGTGGTTAGCAGGACAAAAGGCTCGCGAATAAGATACTAACTAGAGAAGGAGCTTTCATGGAAATGTCCGGCTCGCAGCAATCCGGATGCCGGCTATTTTGAAAGTTATTTGTTAAACTATTTAGTGGGTTTGATTTGTTAAACTTGTTTGTTAATTTATTCTTGTAACATAGTCAACCAAGACATTCGGTGGACTCTTATTTAGCATTATATCTATTTTTTCTTTTATTTATTTATTTTTTATAGGTAATTATATAGAGCACTAAAAACATTCATATTTATAAATCAAGCACTCACATGATTTTTTGAACCATCGAACCGATGCATAATGCATTTATGCGTGTGAGGATCAAATCATTGAGAATTTGATAAAAATGAGAAATATATTGTCTGTTTGGGGCGTTGGTTTCCCCGCGGTGCGGTTTTGTACCATAATTTGCGGTGCTTGTTTACAACGGCACGACCGCGGTCTGATTTGTCTGATTAAGTTTATGCAAAATCAAGCTTCAAGCCAATCTCAACTCAACTCATTGCTCATGAGGCGGCTTGTTTAAAAAGTAATTAATATTAAACATATGCAAAATATATTCAAATTTAAGACTTCATCTTTACCTTGCTAAAAATATTTTTCTTGTTATTTATTCTCTAATTGTTCGTTCAATTTATCATATTATCATAAAACTAGTTTAAATTAATATTTTTTTTCTCACTTTCGTAATAACCAAGCTGGTTCATGAGCTGCCCTCAAAGTCCTAGAATTAAGCTTGTGCTCGAGCTCGATTAATTAAACAGCCTCAGGCTTAATTTGAGGGTGGCTCAAGCTCAAATCATCTAGGCCCCAAAGAGTAACATAAACTGGTATGTAGTTGCCTAGTTGGGTGTAATAAATGGGCAAAAAAATAATACATATACATATATATATATATATATACATACATATACATTTAATGTACTGTTATGAGAGGCGAGTCATGTGTGATATTTAAATGGAATTAATATATATGAAATGGCCTTAAGCTTGATCTGATATCAATGGTTATGCATAGCATTAATGGGACATGTTGCAGCCTGGTTCTAGCAAAATGGAGAAGATAAATACAAGCGAAGTACAATTCTAGAGGATTTTTCAAAGCAGCATTAACAGGAGAGAAAAGAAAAATTTTGTTAGATACTAACCTTGCAGCAGCATTGAAGCCCACCGAAATCATAAATACCCACCCAGAAATTGTCATGCTGCATTTTAAATAAATACAATCAATATAATGCACCAACTTCATTAAAAAAAAAAAAAGAAAAAAAAGAACATTTACATACATACAAGTAAATTCTTATATATTTACATATCTACCACTAAAACTTTTATATTTACACCTATACCACCATCACTCAATTCTTTATCATCACATCAGAAACACAACTGTAAAAATACACCTTTTTAATGGATTGGTTTATACCACATAAAACTTAAATATCAAACTTTAGGTGGCATATATATATATATA